TGAGCTGTCACTGGACATGCATTGCAGCTTGAATCTCTCTGCCCAGTGCTGCTTCCACCCTCTCCCTTTCTCGGATGTCTATCTTAGTAAACTCCTTCAAAAGCCTCCTGCAGGCTGATCTCCACCTCAGAGTTGGCTTCCTGGGAAACACAGTTTGTAAGAGTCGTTTTGCTACTGAATTGTCAGGACCCAGCCCAATTTCTCACAATGAGTAAGTGTGAATATGTGTTTGCTTAATAACAGTGATTCCTTTTGTAAATGGAGAGGCTACTCTTCTCTTGCCGGAGACAGATCTCCACTTCTGCTCGGGATCCCATCCCTTCTCATCTCCTCTTGCTTCTCTACAGACTTCTCTTCATCCTCCTCCTCAGGTTTCTTACATATCCCAATCCCTAAATATGGGAGTCTCGTGGCTTTGTCTTGGGCCGTCTTCTCTAGATAGTGTCAACCACCCACGTGGACTGTGGGGTCCAAAGGTCAGTTTACAACTCTGTTTGCTTGTTACATTCCCAGCACCTATCACAGTGGTTGCCCTTAGTAGACACTCAATAAATACTTATTTTATTGACTGAAAGTCTGTATACTCTACATTTCTCTTTGGGGAAAAGAAAGCCAACCTAGTAGCAGTGTAGAAGAAGTTTTGAAGAGGAGAACGTTTGTTAACTCTCCTACGTGACCTGTTTTTTCACTCTCTTAGTATATTCTAACATTTTTGCTTCTTAGAACCCATCCTCAGTCATCTCACCCTGCTTCCTTTCATTGTTCATTCACATTAAAGTGCCAATAATTAGTGTGGCTAAAGTGCTATTTTCAAGGGGAAAAACTGTCTTAACACACACTAGTGATAAAAATTAGAGATATAGTGAATAATAATTCCAATGATTTTAATGTTAACCATGCTTGTTTTGTTTGGCTTTGCAAAGGAGAACTACCACGCTATCTTATTGCATACCCACAGTGATATGAGGCCATTCTTAATATTTCTATCTTATAGTTGATGAAACTGAAACTCAGGGAATGTAATCTTCCCACCCCAAATTACACAGCTAGTAAATGGAGGATCAGGGGTCAAACTCTTGTCTAATTCTAAATTGCATGCCCTATATTTTAATTTATGTAGTTGAAGCTAAAACAGAGAATTTCAGGCCTTTTGGGTTGCCAGGTAGGGGAGGATTGGTCAGGGTCTAGCTCATGCCACTTCTCAGTAAGACCTGCCCCGTTTACCAAATCTGAAACCCGGAAGTGATGGCTCTTGGAAGAGAAAGGACCCTCAGAACCACTGTCAGTCCTCTAGCCTTTTCTGAAAGAGCTCCGGGATGAAATAGAAATCAATCTTCATTTGGAGGGTACATGCAATTCATAGGCTTTAGGGATAATAGTTGTCATGAGAACCAAAGCATCAACTAAGGTAGATAAAGCAAAACCAAACAGCACAGGGCACAGATGTGCCACCTCTGTGGACTCAAATTTGAGAATTTTATCCAACTTCTATGGGGCAAAAATGCCGTAATGAAGCTACTGCTTTAAAATGGAGGAAGGAGAGAAGACTGAGTCCTTTTTGAGAGAAGAACCAAGTCGCACTCTGATAGTGGGATGGCCCCAGGCTCAAAACCAGTTTATTTCTCTCCAGAGCATGGTCTTGCCCACAGAGCCCTTCGTGCTGAAATGCCAGCTGTGAATATGCTATACTTTTCATTTGGAAACAAATCTTCCTTTCCAGTTTTCCAAGCGTCTCAGTCTGACCATGTTCTTGGCACACTATTTGGTCACAGCTCGGAGATTTTAACCTGCCTGAAAAATACTGTGGATGGATTTTCCAGGAATGCTAACCTAGACTTGAAAACAATGTTTGATCTTAAGTAATAGTTTCTTTTTTCTTTTTGCCCACTGTCATGCACAAAATAGACCTCAATCAGCCGCCGTGTGTGTGTGTGTGTGTGTGTGTGTGTGTGTGTGCATGTGCGTCTTTGGGACTGGAAAAGCAATTTCAACTTATTGATGGGGGAGGGAAGTGCCCGAAAAGTTTCGCCCTGGTCTGATTGTTCACAGCTGTGATAGGCAAACTTATTATTGATAATGTGGAAGAATTGGCAAAGTATTAGGCAAGAAAATGCAATAGTGAGTATGGACTTCTTATGAGGAGGTCTGGATAATACTTCTTAACCATCTGTGCTTCCTGCTTCCTTGTTCATCATCTGAGCATCACCCTTTTCCAGATTTTAACCATTTCAGTGGCATTTCCTAGGCTGATATTACTGTTTCTGCTTCCCCTACATCCTTATAGCTAATATCTCTTGAATGCTTACTACCTGCTAGGCTCTGTGTTAAGTGATTTATGGAGGTCACTTTGCTAAAGCCTTACAGCACTAAGAAGTGGGTATAATTGTCATCTCCATTTTCAAGATGAGGATGCTGAAGTACGTACGGGTTAAGAAACTTGTCCAGTGTTCCAGAACTAGTAAGAGGCAAAGTCTGTATTCAAACTCAGGAGCGTCTGACTCCAGAGACTGCACTTGTCACCATTAAACCAAGCTGCCTCCACCTAGAGGCTGCTGAAGGTGCTTGCTTGCTGAGGAGAACTTTCCAAACGGTTTCCAGTTTCCAGCCCTCCAGTCGTGGCCTCCATGTCTTCCGGGAGAGCTTGGTAGGTGTCTGTGTGCTTTTCAGACCAAACTGGGGGGTGAAACAGTGAACTGGGGAGCCAAAGAGAAGATGAGTTTAACAAACCCAGACTTTCCCTCCCTCAGAAAGGTGTTGCTGGCTAAAGGCTGTTATGTTGATTAGCAGTGCAGACAAAGATCTGCTCGTCTGAAGAGTTTTATGACAGACAAGAACTGTGTCTGTGGTCCTTTCTATTTCTGAGAAAAGCAAATGCTTGGCGACAGGATTTGAGTGAATGAAATATAAAATCTTGTGTAGAGCGCATCCCAGCATTCTAATGTCTTCTGCAGGTGTCATCACCAAGAAAACCAATCTTAGTCTTTTAATGGTCCAGGTCTTGGTTCTTCTTTGCTTCCTTCTTCAGTTTAGGTTTTGTTTCTTCTTTGCTTCCCCTGACCGGGCACTTTCATGAAAGTGCTTTAGAAGTTCTAGAGTTATCTCAGTAACAAAACACGTGGAGGTAAATACAATTTTGACATTTTTTAAAGATCTGGAGCATACAGATGGTGCGTGTGTAGGTACATTTTAGGATGTTTTTGGTTGCGTGTAGCAGAAAAATAGACTCAAATTGCTGTAATCAATAAAGAAAATGTATTGATTTACATAACAGAAAAGTCTAGTGTTAGGGTGTACTTCAGGCTAGGTTTGATCCAGTGGCTCAATGATGGAAGCAAGTATCGGTTCCTTTTTATTGTTCTGCTTTGTCTTCCAAGATATTACATTGCTATAAAATTCCATCATGATTTAAGATGCCTGCTGGCAGCAATTCAGGCCAAATGTCATTTTGCTTACATCCAGGAGAGAAAGAGGGAATCTTTTGTCCACTATGAAACTAAAATCTTTTGCCTAACTATGATTAACTTAGACATGACTACATCCATATCAACTGTTGCCATATCCATTGGAAGAGATTGACTCCACCACCTTTAGGAATGGTCCAGATTGGCTTAAATCAGTCAGTATAATCCCATCTCCCTTTCAGTAATAATTGGTTCAGGATTGGACATGTGGCTGGTGCCTCAGCCAAGCTGGAGATGGCATTCTTTGGCAAGAGTGGTTGTTTCGTGGTGGATGGGGACAGATCCAGTGGATGCTGGGCATGCAACTATACTGTCCAGTTGAGGAGGCAAGGCCAAAACACAGTCATCCAGTCACTGAGTCTAGACTCTTTAACTTTTCTGTCATTGAGAGAAACATCATACATGGGAAGGTTACACTATTTTAAACAAACCGTCCTATTTGCATGCTGATTCCGCCCCTACTTACCAAAATAGATTAGAATTTCTTAGTTTGTGTCCCATGCGGCATTGAGGCCGTCATGTAATCAGGTAGAGTCAGTATTTCTGGTCAAAAGATTTCAGGAGGAGCTGTAGGTTTGGAGATGTGTCTTGTATTTCCTTTAAATTTTCCTTACTAAAAAGAAACTACGAAAAATGTTTGTACCACATTCACTACGTAAGTGCAAAGTTACAAAAAGTAAATATTAATAAATTTCTTTTCCATCCCAATTACTCCAGAGATAATTAATGTTAACACTTTAATATGTATTCCATGCTTTTTTCCCATGTTTATACACAAAGGGTACACACACACGTATAGAGTTGTTTTGGCAGTATCTTTTTATAAAAGATGAGATTCTATCATGCACATTACTCTACAAATATCTTTTCTCACTTAACAATACATCACCGATATACTTCTGCATCAATATCTGTGGACATAACATATTTTCCAGTAGATCCAATTATAGACGTACTACAAAAATTTACTGATTGGATTATTTTACTCTATTACTCATGGGCATTCAAGGTATTTGCATTTCTTTCCTACAGAAGACAATGCTATTTCACTTTAACCCAGCATAGTAGCCTTTTCTCACTAGCCTAGACTATGGTGTATTCTTTTCTTATTTTTAAACCATTGAATTGTACACTTGAAATGGGCAAATTATATGGCATGCGAATTATATTTCAATAAAGCTGTTCTAAAATGTGTGTTTGTGTATTCTTTATTAATGAATCATTCTCAGAGCTTGATCTTGTGCTTGTCACAGAGTATCAACTAAATAAATATTCGTTCAATTAATTCCCCTCGTAACATGGATTTAGAAGATTAACCAAAGTAGTGAGTAATTCATGAGGGGTATTCCAAGGCATTTGCAAATCTTCAAATTCTTAATATCACTTTTATCAGCCAGGTTTTGTTGAGAAATAGACTCAAACAAAGTGACTGGGGGGATTTAATGAATGGACTAATTATGAGGGTAAGGGCTGATTTAAGGAAACTCATTTAGAATAGTGAAGTAACCCAGAGCTAACAGGATCCCTTATCTTCCTCAGAAGCCTGAAGGCGAAGGAGTGGGAGTTCACACTCGAATCTGCACAAGGAGTTGCAGCTGGAGGAGAAGGCTGCCTGCCCCGAGCAGTGAAGTGACTTCAACAGAGGAACCTAGCCTCTACCTACCTACGATCTGTCAAGGAGTAATTCTGGGGGAATAAATGCCCCAACCTCATTCTTCTCCTGTCCTCTCATCTCCTGCTGTGGCTTCCCACTGGCCAAGACTAACTGGAGAGAAAGGTAACTCAATGATGCTGTTGACAAGGGTAAGCCTTTTTGTCCCCTGAGGAGAATGGAAAAGGAGAGAGAGCGGAGAATACTCAGCACATTACTATACCATATAATTCACCTCTTAGAGTTCAGGAATTATGAATGAAAATATAAATGGTACTTTCAGGTACAGTTTTATACACATGGGACTGGAGAAGTTTGCAAAGCTGTTTTCCAGCACAGGCACCAATTTCTTAACTCTTTACTTTTACCATCAACATTTACAATAGGAAGGAATAAAAGGATTTAGAAACTCTTCAGTACAGGGTCATGTCTGTGCTCCATAGTGTCTAGCACAGGGTTGACAGATGGATCTGCTTCAGGAATTTCTTTCTCATTAGCATCATTTATATCCAGATGGGCTAGAAAACAAGTCATCCTAGAAAAGGACTCTATCCCAGCTTGATGAACTGATGATGACTGACATTGTTTGATTCACTTATTGTCTCAACAAAACATGCATTGAGTACTACTCTGTGACAGGGGTTGTACCAGATGCTGTGAAAAATGCAAAGAGGACTTAGACACAGCCCTCAAGGAGCTCACCATCTCCTGGAAGAGACAGGCAGGTAAGCAGATGATTGACTTCAATGTGTAAATTGAGCGCTGGACATAAATGGGCAGTAGAGTGTAGCAGTTATATGCTTGTGTTTAAGATCTTGTCCCATCACCTCTCATGTGGCCTTAAGAAAGTTACTTAACCTCATATGTATAATCATAACCGTGGCAGATTATCGTCTCCTCAAATGGCCACAACAATAACTCCCATCCCACACACAATATGACCTTGTCTCCCCCTCCCCATCAAGGATGGAATGAAGTTTTCTACCCCCTTGAATCTGAGCATGTCCTGGGACTGTTTTGGCCAACAGAATATGGTGGGAGTAACACTGCCAGTTCTAGATATAGCCCAGGTTCATTTGGTCTGGCAAATTTTACATCTTGCCTTTTGGAATGCTAGCTTTTGGGATGCTCCTTTTGGAAACCCAGCCACCATCTTGCGAGAAGCCCAAGTCACCGGGAGAGGCCATGCATAGGTACTCTTTATATTACACAGTGAAAAAATGTTCATGACATTTTTGTCTCCCATGTCAGCAAAGATGTGAAAGCCGTGCTCCTAAGGAGGCCCCTTATCTGTATTGGTATGGCTCAACCATTATAATTCGAAATAATGATTGTTTCCCAAATGCCAGAAAAGGTAAACTTAATGGGTAGAATTTTCTATCTTTTAGTTTTTTCTTTCATAAAATTTTCCTAAGTGTTGGCTTCACTTATCTATACTTAAATCTAAATGTCAAATTCAGACTTTGCCCAAAAGGATATAGTTCCTTATTTTAATTGTGATATATCAGTACTTCCTAGGGTTCTAAAAAAATTATCGTGACTTCAGGTTAAACTATCACCTGTGTGACAGACTGAGCATCTCTAGAGTGAGGAGTAAATTGCTTTTCTTTTCGTAAACTCTGGGCTATTTTGCAGGACATGAGATATAGAAGACAGTGTCAATGTGCTGGCAAATTAATTTGTTAGAAGGAAGAATCTTGTGGAGGAGCTGGGTAAAGAACCCTTTGAATACTGAGGAAGCGGCCATGTCATCTACAGATTTTAGATTTTCAAATATAGATGTATCTTTAATGATATGTTGGGGACATTTTTCTCAAAATGTTGACTATGTCTCTGACGCAAATGGCTTTGAACCCAGGAAAAGACAAGGGAACATGAATTTGGGTCGTGGATGTCAACTACAGAGCATAGACTAAATGTGAAAATTGTCACTATGTATGATTACAGTCAATGATGAATATCACTCCATTTCATAGAGTTCATGTTAACCATTTGGCTAACCTCAGTAGAGTCTAGGTCTATTAAAAAACCTAAGTTGGGCAAGGCTGATAAAAGAAAGCGGAAATGTAGGAGCTTTAGAACCGAAGGATTTAAGTATTTGATGATTAGAGATAATCACTTCTGCCATACCATACCCCAGAGTAGCAGACAAAGGTGCTCACTTCTAAATACTTAGCGGAAAATGCAAATTAGGTCTACATTTTTGCTCAGACCTTGAGATAAGCAGACAATTGAGGAAGTTCTCAGGTGGTTGCAATTTCAATGGATTCCTTTCTCCTGTTGCTAATTGACATTCCCACTATTCTTGTTGTTTGACTATGGACAACTCTCGTAAAGTCTCTGGGCTCTAATTTCTTCATCAGTAAAATTCGGATGATGTAAGCACCTACCTTATAGGATGACTGTGATCATATGTGGTGGCTTAGCACAGTGCTTGGCTGATAGAAATCACTCACTAAAGAGTTGCCAATTGCTATTGATTGAATGTTTGTGTCCACCCCCCCCCCCATATTCATATGTTGAAACCTCACCCCCAATGTGATGGACATATTTGGAGGTGGGACCTTTGGGAGGTGATTAGGTCATGAGGGTGGAGCCCTTGTGAATGGGATTAGTGCCCCTGTGTAAGAGACCCCAGAGGGCGCTCTAGCCTCTTCCACCGTCTGAGGACACAGCAAGAAGATGGCCGTCTATGAACCAGGAAGCAGGCTCTCACCAGACACAAAATCTTCTGATGCCCTGATCTTGGACTTCCCAGCTTCCAGAATTATGAGAAATAAAATTTGCGTTGGGCTTAAGCCATATAGTGTATGATATTTTGTTATAGCAGCCTGAACACACTAAGATACTGATTGATAGTATTAATATAGTTATTGTTGATGGGCATTAAGTCAGTGCCCACCTCTGGTGGAGTCAGGCTGCTTTTTCAAACATCTAGTTTAAAGGGTTTCAACCTCAAAATATTCGTTCGGGAGAGTTCCCACCTGTTGTTGGGACTGTGGCACTCTCATTTCTTCAATGCAGGAAGTTTTAGTCACTTCTGAGATGTGAATGAGGATAAAATTTGCTCCTAAGGGATTGTTTCATCTTTGTCTCCTCAGGCATCTGCCAATGACTGCGTTGGGACCTAAAATCTAGAGAAGAGATTGATTCTGAAACTCTCCAGAAGGCTAGCTCAGCTAACCCTACTACTTAAACTATCTTAGATTGTTTACCTAATCCTTCTGAGACTCAGTTTACTTATCTATAGAATGAGAATATAATGGGTTTAAGAAGATTACACAAGACCACATATGCAAAGCACCCAGCAGAAGGTGGCCAATACAAATTAGGTTCTGTTTTCCTTCGTACTCATCCCCAGCTGCTGTGAGTATTCACTGTCAACAGCGCACAGCTACCTGCCCCCTTCCCAGGCAAGGAAACCCACCTGGCCCCAGAGGGTACACACCACTGGAGCCAATGACTGATCAATGTGGGAGTACAAAGGACTGACCTTGGCTGTAATGTGGGGTCTGTGATGTTTCAGAGGGCCTGTGTGAGTCAGGCCAAGACTAGACCTTATCTTGATATTCCTTCCTGACGTTTTCCTTCTTCCCTTGCTTCCTTACAGGTTCTTCCTGAAGAGCGCTCTTTAATAAATCACATTTATTGGCTGCTCCGATTCCTGGTTCTAGAGAACCAGACCTAAGATACTTAATAAAGGACACAAGCTAGAATAATTCTCCTCAAAGCCTTTTGACCACAAGTCCTGCAGAAACTGGCTGAATGTCTTTTTCTGTCTTGAGTCTACTCAGAACTCCTCCATTCTGACATGGCCCCAAGGAACTTGCTTGATCACCAGGGAACTTTCACCCAGAAAATCCAGTCTCACATTTGTTTGAAGGACTGACCTTTGCAGGAATGATATGTCTGTGCCCCTTCATGAATGCCATCTTACCTCTACTCTTTCACAGTTTGTCAGGAAAGTGGAGGTTATTTAGAGCCCTGGAAGAAGATGTGAGATTTCTCGATGTGGAATTGCCTAATTTTGAAATTGGTAGGCTTCTAGAAGCAAATATTTTCAGACTAAAACCAGTTGATATATTTGCCTAGACTTTTCTTTCTTTTTTTCTTTGGTTTCTCATAAAGCAGGTTCTGGAGGCTGGTAACTTGAAGGGGAATAAAGACTTCTGTGAGAAAACATTGGGTTTAAAAACTGTTCCATGTGGTTCAAAATGTGTTTTAGACATTCAGTAGGAAAAAGTATGGACTTAATCATAATACTGTGATTTAGAAAAGGTTTCTGTCAGCAGAAAAGTTCAGGGAATAGCTGGGGATTGTGAGGCACAACCTTAAATGATTACGTGCACAGATTGTTCTCATCAGAGAGCATCAGAGGGGACAACAGGTTGACTAAAAGAGGGATGATGGTCATGGGAAAATGGCATAGGATGGAGGGGTGTGTAGAAGATTTGGAAAAGTTGCTGTGGACATTTAATAAGGAATTGACCATGGATGGTTTCAAGGATTATCAACAAGTGGGCAGCATCTGGTAGAGATCTGGTGGTAGGAATTTTAGTAGAGCCAAATTCATTCATTCTGTCACATATGTGTTTAACACTAGTAAGTGTGTTTTGTGTACTGGGTACACTAAGGTAAGACTCCTCAAGAAGTTTCCACACTCAAAGGCCAGCTGTGAGAATGGAACCCAGCTTATTTCACTTAGTGTAATATCTTCAATGTTCATCCATGTTGTTGCATACAGCAGGACTTCCTTCTTTTTTATGGCTGAATAATATTCCATTGTATATATGTACACATTTTCTTTATCAGTCATCCATCAGTGGACATCCAGGTTGTTTCCACTTATATGGGGTATCTGAAGTAGCTAAACCCACAGAAGTAGAAAGTAGAATGAATGGTGGTTACTGGGGCTGGGGGCAGGGGGCAATAGAGAGTTTCTGTTCAATAGGTATAAAGTTATGCAAGATGAATAAGTTCTAGAAATCAGCTGTACAACATTGTGCTTATGAATAGCAATGCTATACTGTACATTTAAACATTTTTTAAGAGGGTAGCTCTCACATTATGTGTTGTTACCACAATTTTTTTTTTTTTTGAGGAAGATTATCCCTGAGCTAACTACTGCCAATCCTCCTCTTTTTGCTGAGGAAGACTGGCCCTGAGCTAACATCCGTGCCCATTTTCCTCTACTTTATGTGTGGGACACCTACCACAGCATGGCTTGACAAGTGGTGCCCTGTCCGCACCTGGGATCCTAACTTGCGAACCCTGGGCTGCTGAAGCAGAACGTGCGAACTTAACTGCTGCGCCACCGGGCCAGCCCCACCATAATTTTTTTTTAAAAAAGAATGGAACTCAGGAGCATCTTGGCATTGTATTTAACAAGAAAGAGAAATGAAAATTTGAGGGAATAGGGATTCTGTGGTTCCGGGGAGAAGCTAGGTTAAGAGAGCAGGGAAGCCAGGAGGTAAAATATGGGGAAAATAGGAAGAAGCTGAGGACCTATGGGTCACACTGAGCAGAGAGCAGAGAGAGGTGCCAAGATAGGAATTTAGGGGCAGAAAGGGTGATTTCACAGTTTGTTACCCTGAATATGAATAATTAAAGTTGAGAAAGCCCTCCCACTTTGGCGTATATTTTTTCTCAATTTTTTTCTCCCTCTACCCCATACATACAGAATTTTGTTTGTGCTCATCAATGTCACCTCCTCCCCTAACCAGTGAAGATGTCTGTACCCTAGTCAATCAGATTCTTTTTTTTAAGCATAGTTAGGAAACTAAGAGAGGGAGACAGGACTGGAGGAGTGCGAGGAAATGGAAAAGACTCATTCTTCAGGCTCTCCTTTGTTGTGAAGAATCTGAAGAATAGGTAAGACAGAGAGTAAAACTCAAAAGAAAATATTGATGGGTCTAGGCCAACCTACATATTAGAGAGCTGAGAGAGACACACGCAAAGGAGAAAAAAATCTGGCAAAATGGCAGAAAGACACAGAGAGAGACTCCATTTGGAACAATATAGGATGAGAGAATAGGAGAGAAGAAAGAGAATGTTAAAAAGTTTTGCCTTGAATTATTGACTGAAGTTTCTCTAAATGATGAACATTGTACGTGAAATTAGTTTAGCAATGATTTTTATAACTGAACTGTTTCTTTGATTGCCACGTTTAGTTGAGACTAAGCCACATAAACTTTGAGATTTATTCAGGATACAGAAGTTCTATCATTGAATATAACTTCAACTTGATCCATTGAGGATCAAATATTAATTATAATCACCCCCGAATTTGCATATGCAAACTGAGAATTACAGCTATTAACTGATTTGCCCATGTCACAATATTAGGAAGTGATAGACTTAAGGGTTGAACTCCAATTTGTCAGACTTATAGGCTCTGAGTTTTCTGCTGCCTAAAAATGGAACAGCTCCAAATGAGAATTTATTTCAAGGTAAAATACCCTTGTATGTGTGTGACATCAATGGAATAGCACGCAGCTCACCAAAGTGAGAAACAAATGGACAAATGTCAAGCTTGCAGATGTGTAGAGGGTGATATCTTGGCAGGTAATGGGGTAACGAGCCAGATTTACAGAGCATTTATCCATCTTCCACCATGTTACCGTCACTTATGCAAATAAATATTTATTCCTGAATGAAAATGAGATAAGATCCTGGGGACCTGTAGATGCCCAAAAGGAAGAGAACGGTTCAGGAAGATGGTGTGAGTTTACCAATAGTGGGATTGTTATGCAATGGTGGGAGCATAGCAGGAGGGCTATTTTCCACTCCGTGAAATAAGATGGGATGGGTGGGGAGGCGAGTGGGAGAAACTACTATTTATTGTTTTTACAGTATAGGACTTTAGATAATTCTCCAAATCTTCTAAACCTCTATAATGATGTTATATTATTTTTCAACATTTAAGCTATCTTTAAAATGAAAGCTATTACATGGCTTCCAGAGACTCAGTAAGTTTTAATTCTGTTATTTACTGAGCGCGTGACCCGCAGCAACAGTTACCTAACTGTTGGTAGTCTTGATCTGTAAAATAAGACTTACAATAATATCACCCTATTAAAGCCATTATGAGGTGTTATGTATTACCTTATTTAGATAACATATGTATAAAGGACTTTGTAAACTAAAAACCATTCTATGAATGCTAGTTTTACTGATAATTAAAGAATTTTTGCGTTTATATAGCATTGAAAATATTTTCATATTTCATAATTCTCATAATTTCTCTGTCTAAGACACCATATTCTATCAAATTGATGTATCATAAGTCATTTCAGGTGTGGAGTTAAGTGACTTGACTTGGGCCACACGGGAATTGTTGGCACGAGGATATGAACATGGTTCTCTTTGACCTCAAAGCTTATATCATTAATACAGTATTGCCTAGAAATGGAAATAACTGCTGTAGTTATCCAAAATCTATATCTTGGAACCATAGGGAAAATAAAGAATGAAAGGTAATTCTGCAAGGATAAGGCATAAATCTAAAACTGTCAGTGTTCTTGGCTAGGGAAAGAAGGAATGTGTGTGTGTGTGTGTGTGTGTGTGTGTGTGTGTGTGTGTGCTGAGTGTGGGAAAGAATAAAAACTATAAAAATAGGTCCTGCCTGGAAGAGCTGACCAAGGGAAAATGGACAAGGAGTAGTTCTCATTTTGGAACCAAGGTTTCATTGCAGTTGTAGCTCAAGGTTTAGGGAGTCTCCCCTTAGACAAACAAGGGGGATGCTGGCTTGCTCATGCCAGGGCTGGTCCCGAGGACCACGTGCTCACCTGGGCGGCATGGTTGGTGATGTGGAACACCTTTGAAATAACATTTGTTGCCCTTCAGCTGTTATTCTGTTATTCTTAGGAGTTTTTTTTTTTCTCCCAGAAAGCCACAGCCTTGAGTATTACTCTTCAATAGTACAGACTAATTGGGCAATGGAATAAGTCAGACTGCCGTTACAGATTCTATATGAAACAATTATAAAAAAACTTCAGGGGCTGGCCCCATGGCGCAGCGGTTAAGTTCCCACGTTCCGCTTCTCGGCGGCCTGGGGTTCACCTGTTTGGATCCCGGGTGCGGACATGGCACTGCTTGGCAAAAGCCATGCTGTGGTAGGCGTCCCACGTATAAAGTAGAGGAAGATGGGCACAGATGTTAGCTCAGGGCCAGTCTTCCTCAGCAAAAAAAAAAGAGGAGGATTGGCAGTAGTTAGGTTAGGGCTAATCTTCCTCAAAAAACAAACAAACAAACAAACAAACAAACAAAAAACAAAACTTCAGCTCTTTGAGGAAACCGATCTTCCAACTTGGTCTGTTCTCCAGAGAGAAAGAAAAATGTCGTCTTCTCGGAATGGGGAAAGTTAGATATATTTTCCTTTCCCAGATTGTGTTTAGAAACTGTGGGCCAACCTTTCATTCACCAAATACCCAATGTTACCGGAGTAGGATGCCCAGAGCCACAGCAGCAGGAATGCATTAGCTTGCCACCCTTCTTCTTTACAGTTCTCTGAAACGTCCCAGCTCCACCCTCCTTCCCACTTGGCTTGCCTGTTCAGAGGCCCAGGCCAGCCATCTTGGTCACTTTCATGGAGTGGTGGTTGAAGGGATCAACAGCATGTGTTTAGTTAGTGCCCATTGAGTGCAGAGTGCTCTGTTGGGCTACCATGGTGAGTGGGAACAAACAAGTGAGATTATTAAGCTACACTAAGGATAGAAAAATAAATAAAACACCATCCCTGTTCTTAGGGAGCACAGAGTCTGTTGGGCTGACTACAAAGTCAGATGCCTATACAGGGACCAGGTAGGCAAGGTCAGTGAAGAAAGAAGGTCGTGTGGGGATTGTGGTATTGGGGAGAGCAATTCTTCTTCATGAAGCAGCATCCACAGCTCATCTCCAGAAAATCGTTGTTATTTAGGAGGATAAACAATGTGGTCTGATGTTTCAAGAGATTCTAAAACTCCAATTTTTTAAATTATGGAAAATCTCCAGATTTTTAATGTTGGCAACTAATGTAAGGTGTCATTTTAAATATTGTTTGGGTAAAAATAAAAAACATATATGGGTTAGATACAGTCTGTGGGAAATCATTCTGTGACCTCCAAGGGGAGAAAGACAAAAAGAATAGTGATCAAAATCAGTTGGATGGGTGTTATGATAGGGGAGATCTGGGTGCTGTGTGAGCAGAGGTGAAGTCAGGATAGGCTTTCTGGAAGAGGGGCCATGCGTATGAATCGTGTCTGCACAGTACTGGCTAGTCAGAGGGAGGTACGGTGGAGTATGAGTTCTTGACTAAGGAGCCTGCATGTCCAAAGACAGGGATCTGTGTGAAGCATGATTTGCTGGGGTAACTGGAAGTCATTTAGTGGAACTGAAGCACTTCGTACAAGTTAGGGAGTTTTGAGGACTGAAGCTTGAGACTGAAGTTGGTGCCAGATCCCAAAGGACCCTGAACATCCTGCTAAGGATTTTGCATTTTACTCTGCAGGCATTAGGATGTTTTTGAGCAAATTTAAGCAGAGGATCAGCATAATCCGATATGAGGTTTAGAAAGACTATGCTGTTAGAAAAGGGCAAAAGCCGGGTAAGTTTGGTGTTTGTTTAGAGGTTCTTTCAGTGATTTGAGTGAGAGATAAGTATTTGAATTATACCAGTGGTGACAGAAATACAGAAAAGACATTCAAAGGATATCTAGGAGGTGACCTCAGTGGGACTTGATGAGAAAGGTGAGGGGGAGTGGGGAGTCCAGAAAGACTCCCAGGTTTCTGGCTTGAGGGATTGAGTTGATGGCACCCAAAAAAGAAGGGAAGGAGTGCAAGAGGAATGGGTTTTGTGTTTGAAGCTGAGGAGTTCAGTTTTGGATGGGTTGAGTTTGAAATGAACAGGCAGAAATTCTCACTGAGAGTTTCATCCAGAGAACTGGGTTTCCGAAGTGAGCTCCAGGCTGGAGATGTAGATTTGGATTTCTCGGTTGCGTTTGTTGAAGGCAGGGAGTAAGCGCATGTGATCATCCGTAAGATAGAGGATTGAACCCTGGCGAACACCTCCGCTGGGAATGGGACGTGAAAGTGGAGGCAGCTAAGAAGCAGCCACGGAGGTGGCAGGAAAGTCAGGAGGAGTGATGCTCTGCTAACCAACTTCAGAGAGACTTAAGGAGGAAGTTGTATACAGAGCCAAGTGCTGTGGAAAAGGCTAATGTGTAGAGATTGATAAATATTTGTCTACTGGATTTAGCAACAGGATGGTCATAGTTGATCTTGGCAATGGCAACTTTAGGGATGGTTGGGGGAGAAGCGGGCTGAAAATTGAGTAAAGTGAATGGAGGTGAGAAAGAGGAAACTCTGAGTATTGAAAATCCTTTTTAAAGTAGTGTCTGTAAAGGGGATGAGAGATAAAGAGTGATACTGAAAAGACTGTATATGGTAAAGGGAGGGATTTTTAAACCTGGAAGAGGCTTAGAAATGCTTGTGTGTTGACATGAAACAGCTATTATGAATGAGGCAGCTCAGCTGCTGAAGAGAGAAGGATGACAGGTACAGTAAGTGGCCCAGGATGGGCGACCAGATTGTCCTATAACACGTTTTATCCACGGTCTAATGGCCCCCTAGTCCTTTGGTTATCTTGTTTTGTACTTTTCTCTCAGCTCCTGCTTTTTGCCCTCTTTCGTTCTTATGACATGTTTGTTGGCATCTCTACACAATTTCTCTGGTTGTGGCAGTGTCTAGGAATAGCTACAAAGACCGAAGCAGGCAGACACCACTCTTGTATTTCCATCCGCAGGACTGCTACTTATGAACCAAGAACAAACAGGATCTATGTAAAGTTGATTTTTATGCCATTTAATATAGGAATACTAAAAATTGTCAATTTTTCCCAGAGATGTAAGGTCAATAAGTGCAGTGGGAAGCCTGGTCCCAGGCCACTGATAACCTGGCAAGGGTAGCAGTAAATGTGCCCCTTGGCTGCCACTATTACTTTAATTAAATTTCAAACTGAAATGTAAATTTCATGTCCTATTTTTCTAAGTGACCAGGGTCCTTTGAGGGAAGAAGAAAGTGGAGAAGCTCATGACTTTGTCAGGGACTGAGAGCTGATTCACTAACTTGCATCACGATTGTTTACAGCTGGCATTGACATAGCTCAGGAGCTCTGTTTGGGTTGATTTTATGCTGAAAAATTTCAACTGCTGCAAATGCCAAAACTCCTCTCACTCCTACCCCCACCCCCACTCCCAGACTAACTCAGGCTGGATAACGAAATCTTAATAAAACTTTTTATCAAAGTGTGGTCCTCAAAGGCCAAGTAAGATGAAGAGGGCATCCACGCAGAGCGGTAGAGCGCTGGAGCCTGAGTGAGTCAAGTGTGGTGTCCACCCACTGGGCAGAGTAAGAAGGCCACCCCAAGGTAGGGTGACCTATGGGGACTCAGGATGAGGAAGGCACCCAGTTGGATGAGGGCAGCCTGGTGCGGAAAGTCAGAACCCAAATGGGATGAAGAAGGTGTCTGCATGGGCCAGATGTAGAGTGTTGCTGTCTGAGTGGGTAGGTAAGAGGACTAGATGATAGGGGAGGAGGTGGCTGAGAAGATGGGAGATTTGTAACATAAAGTGGAATAGATCATATCAGTAAGTATATTAAAGATAATGAAAGCAAGATTTCTCTCTGTTTGTGGAGGGAGTTACAAATATGGAAAGGAGGAATATCTGACTTAACTTGACGGTATTGAATTGGAATTGGAAGTATAATTGTGAACTTGTGGTTTTCAATATATGGATACATAGAAATAAAATGGTTGCACACGTGTGTGTATATATGTATATGTATACAATCCCCATTTGTATCCATTAAGAGGGCCTAGGAACAGGGACATCTCTGTAGCAGGAAGCATGCCTGGCATCCAGATCACGGCTTCTAAATATTGTTCTCCACTAAAAAGAACCAGAGCTCCTTGAAGAAATGGCTGATTCCAAGTCTGAGGCAGGGAAAATGCAACATGAGCCTAGAACGTCTTCTCCGAGGAAGGGAATGTTTATACAAGAATGGAGACTTGTTAGAAAGACAAAGTGGCCAGTTTGAAGTGCTTCTTACTGGGAAGATAATAATAAATGGTAAAGTATACGTTTGCAAAAATAGGTAGTAATGTATAAATTTGAGTAAATTAAAAAACTAGATTTCATATAGATATACATAAATATATGAGTAAATTGAAAGTTTGGTGAAGAATAAGATATTCACATAGTTTCAAACCATTTTTCCCCAAAACATGTATTAATTTCAAAGGAACAAGAATTACTTAACAGTAGAGAAGCCTGGAAGACACCATCTCAAATAAGTGATAAAGTGAACATCATCAGTAATGGGACGAATTGAAATCATGGGCCACTCGACAAGAAACAATGAACAGATCTCAACATCACATCTGTAATATTCCTGCCCGAGGAGGGTAACTTGAATCTAATCATGAAGATACATCATTGGACAGGCCCAAAGTGAGGGACATTATACAAAATAACTTGCTTGTAGTCTTCAAAAGAATAGAGGTCATGAAAGCCAAGGAATAAAGCAGAGAAGTCAAGATGAAGAAAAAAGCAGAGAAACTGTTAAGACTGAAGGGGTTTCAAAAGACTTGATAACTAAATGCAATATGTGATTCCTTTCAGTATAGATGATATTATTGGGACAATTGGTGAAAGTTAAGTGAGGCCTGAAGATTGATGGGAGGGATGTGTCAGTGTTCACTTCCTGATTTTGATGGTTGCATTGTGGTTGTGTAGGAGTTGTCCCTGTTTGTAGGATATGCACTCTTGGGAGGTTGGAGCATCATACTTGCAACTGAATCTTAAATGGTTCATAAAAAGTTCTTTATAGCATATTTGCTACTTTTCCGTAATTTTGTGATTATTCCAAAATAAAATAAAAACTATATATATATTCATTAAGACTTTATTTTTTAGAGCAATTTAAAGTTCACAGTAAAATTGAGAAGGCACAGAGATTTCCCATATACCCTTTGCCCCCACATATGCACAATTTCCCCCATTATCAACATCCCCCACCAGAGTGGTACATTTGTTACAATAGATGAACATACGTTGACACATCGTTATCACCGAAAGCCCATAGTTTACATTATGGTTCACTCTTGAAGTTGTACATTCTATAGGTATGGATAAACATATAATGACATGTATCCATTGTTATGGTACCATACAGAGTATTTTTGCTGCCCTAAAAATCCTCTGTGCTCTGCCTATTCATCCCTTCCCCATTCCAACCCCTGGTAATCACTGATCTTTTTACTGTCTCCATACTTTTGCCTTTTCCAGAGTGTCATATAGTTGGAATCATATAGTATGTAGCCTTTTTAGATTGGATTCCTTCGTTTAGGAGTATGCCCTTAAGTTTCCTTCATGGCTATTCATGGCTTGATAGCCCATTTCTTTCTAGCACTGGGTAATATTCCACCGTCTGATGTACTGGTTTGTCTATTCACCTACTGAAGGACATCTTGGTTGCTTCCAAGTTTGGGCAATCATGAATAAAACTGCTATAAACATCTACATGCAGGTTTTTGTGTGGACATAAGTTTTCAACTTCTTTGGGTAGTTACAAATGAGTATGGTTGCTGGATCACATGGTAAGATATGAATATTTTTAGTCTTGTAAGAAATTCCTGAACTGTCTTCCAAAGTGGTTGTACCATTTTACATTCCTACCAGTGATGAGTGGGGATTTCAGTTGCTCCACGAGCTCCAAATGCTCGTCAGCATTTGGTGTTGTCAATGCTCTGGATTTCGGCAATTCTAATGGTATGATATCTCATTGTAGTTAAAACAATACATTTTTAAAAAGAACATTTCTCTGTGTTACTCCCAGAGATTCTTCAGGGAGTCTTTAGGGGTTTGTAAGAATTATCTATTTTAATAAGTTCCTGGGGAAGTTTGATGAAAGCAAGGGGGGATTACTTTGAGAAATGGCAGGTTAAATAATGCAAACAAAAAAGGAAGTTATCAATCAGAGATAGTTGTGTAGCTCAAATCCGTTTAAATCCAACCATTGGATTAGGAGGCATGAGAAAACTAGCCTTTTGCTTAGATTCATCATACTCAATATACTTCCAGGCAGGGCTACTAACATAATGTGGATTTGCCTTATGACATGAATATGCACATTTTTTCAGATGAGGAAACTGAATCCCAGATGGTTTAAATAAGCTTCTCAAGAATGCATTGAAATGCCCTCTGACACCTACACCCAGGCTCCTTTCTCCACGTCAAATTCATCTCTTCACCATTCTACTCCTATAATGCTAATGGCCCGAGGAAAAGTTCTCAGAGTCGACTTTTTCCATTTCTTCTCTCCCTTTTTTTTTTTTCCTCAACAAGATTTCCCCCATTAATGGCTTGTTGGACTTGGCTGCTCCCTGGGGAATACTTGTTTGTGTCTGGAGCTGTAGGTGATGGCAACACCAGGGTGTGCTTGGATTAACTCTTTGGATGTACTGCCCAGACTCATTTCAGGTCACCCTAAGAGGCTTTTTGGGTAATACAGCAGTATTTGGCCTCAGGCGCTTCCAAGTACAGGAAGGAAATGGCATGAACTTCAAAGTGAGCTCTGGTGCCATGAGTACTGATCATTTATTAGTGCTTTAATAGTGGTAAATTAATCTCAGATACACATGGAGGCCAGAACAAGCTGGAGGTGTGGGAACAGTCTGCTTTCACCCTTGTTTTCTGGAAATTTAGAACATTTCCCAGTTCCAGTGCTCAGAAGTTAAGGGTCACTTTGGAGGTTAGGGTTATTTTCAAAGCTTTAAACAGACCTGAGCCTGTTCTTGGGTCTTTTCCTGATCAGGTTAGTGTTATTTTATTTACATCCCATATGTTTTATAAATACTTCTTTCTTATTCATTTTCTCACTCTATAATTTTTTCAAAGCGACTCTATTGAGACATAATTTACATACAATAAATTCACATTTTAATGTGCAGTTGGATGAGATTTTACAAATGTAAACATTCATGTAACTATCACCCCAGTTAAGATATGAGATATTTTCACTGTCCCCAAAATTCCCTCCTATCCTTTTGCAATGGATCCCTGCCCGTCCAAGGCATTCATTGATAAGATTTCTGTCACCATTACTTTTGCCTATTCTTGAAGTTCGTATAAATAGAATCATACAGCATGTCCTCTTAGGTCTACATTCTTTAGCTCAGCATAATTTTTTTTGAGATTCCCCCATGTTTTTGCGTCTGTCAGGAGTTCATTATTATTCTTTTCCCGTTTTTCATATAACTCATTTCATTGTAAGTTTACACAATTTTTTCTTTCAAATTTTTATTTTGAAATAATTTAGACTTACAGAAAAATGGCAAAAATATTAAAGAGTTCTTATAAACCCTACATCCAGCTTCTCCTTATGGTGACATCTAGGAAATACATGTATTTCTACTAACCCATGTATAAACATATATCTATATTTATGTCTATATCTATCTATCTGTATGTGCATAAATACAGGTAGATATACAGATTCTAGGATAAACACACACATTAGAATAAACATGAGTTCACACTGATGTGTGACTCTAATCCAGCAGCACTACAGGATTCATTCTAACATTTGCCGTTTGCTTCTTTTAACTTCTTTCTCTGTCGGTGAGAAACCTGGCTTTCATTATCAACAATTTATTTACTAAATTGTTCAACCCTAGTACACATTTGAAGTAGTTTCAGAATGGTAATCCACATCCTGAAAAACAAATTCTCCCACTAGAATACAGTGTTTGTGGACTGTTTTTGTCTTTAACCTCACAGTATATAATCAAAACACTTTTTTTTTTTTACAGGTGTTGAGAAATGATTCCTTTCAGCTCAAGACTCTATTTACAAAGAGTTTTAGGCCAGCTCATTTCTTCCCCATCCCCTCCAGTTGAGTTATGTCATTCATTTGTAATAAAGTTATATTTACTTGTTACAGCCCGCATTTCCTCTTGATTTCTCCCCACCATCCTGGTTGAGTGTTTAAATTTTGCATGTAGTAAAATTCATCTTTGTGGGATATAGACCTATGAGGTTTTTAAAATGCTTTGAGTCACGTATCCATCACCACAGTAACATACAGAACAGTTTCATCACCCTAATAGTTCACTATTTTTCAGTAGTTTGTTAACACAATTTGTTAACCATTCACTTATTAAAGGACATCTGGGTTGTTTCTAGTTTCTGACCATTATATACGAAGCTTCTAGGAACACATATGTGCAGGTTTCTATTGAACATGTTTTCATTTGTCTGGGATAAATGGGCGTGAGTGCAATTACTGGGTTGTATGGTTGTTACATGTTTAAATTTTAAGAGAAATTTCCACGTTATTTTCCAGAGTGGCTGTGCCATGTTACCCTTCCACCAGCAATATACGAGTGATTCAGTTTCTCCACATCCAGCATTTGGTATTGACGCTACTTTTTATAAGTTGTTCTGGTAGGTGTATAGCAATATCCTATTGTTTCAATTTAAATTTTCCTTATGGCTAACATTAAACATCTTTTCATGTGCTTGTTTTCCAACTGTATACTCTCTTTGGCGAAATGTCTCCTCATGTCTTTTGCCTAATTCTAATTGAACTGCTTGTTTTTAATGTTGAGTTTTTAGAGTTCTTTATATATTCTAGATAATAGTTCTTTGCCAGATATGTGGTTTTCTAATACTTTATCCCACTCTATTGCTTGTCTTTTTATTTTCTTGTCACGATCTTTTCCAGAACAAATTTTTTAATTTTGAAAAGGCCCAATCTATCAGTTTCACAGGTTGTGCTTTTGGTGTCAAGTCTAAGAACTCTTTGCCTAGCCTTAGATCCTGAAGGTTTTCTCCTATAGTTTTCTAGTTTTACATTTACGTCTAAGTTTGTGATCCATTTTGAGTTAATTTTTGTATAAGATGTGAAGTTTAAGTCAAGATTTATCTTTTCATCTATTGACATCCACTTGGTCCAGCACTACTGTTAAGAAGGCCATCTTGCCTCCATTGAATTGCTTCTGCACCTTTGTAAAATATCAGTTCTATACGTCTACTCCTCTGTCAGCACCACACAGCGTTGACTACTGTAGCTGTATAATAAGTGATATTCTTGCTTTTCAAAATTGTTTTAGCTATTCTATTCCTTTGCCTTCCTATATAACTTTCAGAGTAATCTTGTCTGTATCTACAAAAAAACCTTGCTGGGATTTTAATAGCAATTTCATTAAACCTTTATATCAATGTAGGGAGAATTAACATCTTTATCACGTTGAGTCTTTCAGTCCATGAACATGTTATGTCTGGCCATTTGTTTGATAATTTTCAGCCTATAGATTCTATGCATGTTTTATTAGATCCACACCTTAGTATTTCTTTATCCCTCTTAGGGATTATAAATTGCATTGTATTTTCAGTTACAGTTTCCATGTGTTCACTGCTGGCACATAGGAATGCAATTGATTTTTGTATGTTTATATTATACCCTCTAACTTTGCTGAACTCATTAGTTGTAGGAGGTTTTTAGAATTTCTTGAAATTGGCATCAGTTTTTCTTTGAATGTTTGGTAGAGTTCCCCAGTGAAGCCATCTGGGCCTGGGCTTTTCTTTGTGGGTAGTTTTTTTTTTTTTTGCTTTAGTTAACAATTTAAATCTCTTTCCTTTTTACGTCTATTCAGATTTTCTATTTATTCTTGAATCAGTTTCAGTTGTTTGTATTCCTTTATATCTATCCTGTATTTCATTATTTCTACTCTAATCTTTTTTTTCCCTTCTGCTTGATTTGAATTTTGTTTGCCCTTTTTCCAGTGTCTTAAGGGAAAATTTAGAGTATTGATATAAGAGCTGTCTTCTTTTCTAATGTAGGCATTTGCAGCTATACATTTCCCCTTAAGCAATGCTTTAGTTGCATCCCATAAGGTTTGGTATGGTGTGTCTTCATTTCCATTCATCTCAAAGTATTTTCTGATTTCCCTTGTGATTTCTTCTTTGACCCATCGGATGTTTGAGAGTGTGTTAATTTTCATCTATTTGTTAATATATAAAAAAAATTTTGTTATGATTTCTAATTTCTCTCTACTATAAGAACATATTTTGTATGGTTTCAATCATTTTGAATTCATTGAGATTTGTTTGATGGCCTAGCATGTGATCTACCCTGGAGAATGTTGCAGGGGAACTTGAGAAGAATGTGCATTCTGCTTTTGTTGGGTAGAGTGTTTTATAGATGTCTGTTAGGTCTAGTTGGTTGTGGTGATGTCCAGGTTTTCTATTTCCTTGATGATCTTATGCTTAGTTGTCCTATTCGCTATTGAATGTAAGGGTATTGAAGTCTCCAATCATTATTGTCTACAATAGAAATTGTCTATTTCTCTCTTCAATTCTGTCAGTTTTTACTTTTTAAATTTTGTGACTCTGTTGTTAGATACATATATGTTTATAATTGCTATATCTTCCTGATGAATAGACCCTTTATCATTATAAAATATTCTTCTGTATCTCTAATAACATATTGTTTCTGAAGTCCATTTTGTTTAATATATGGATAGCAACTGTAGCTTTCTTATGGTTGCTGTTTATATGATGTATTTTTCCATTCTTTTACTTTCAACTTATTTGTATATTTGAATCTAAACTGTGTCTCCTATAGAGGCACTATATAACTAGATCTTGTTTTTAAAGTCCAGTCTGAAAATCTCTGTCTTTTTTTTTTTCTTTTTGAGGAAGGTTAGCCCTGAGCTAACATCTGTGCCCATCTTCCTCTATTTTATATTTGGGTTGCCAGCCATAGCATGGCTTGACAAGCAGTGCATAGGTCCATGCCTGGGATCTGAACCAGTGAACCCTTGGCCACCAAAGCAGAGCACGCAAACTTAACCACTATGCCACTGGGCCAGCCCCAAACCTGTGTCGTTTGCTTAGATTGTTTATTCATTCATGTTTAATGTCACTATTAATATACTTGCATTTATGCCTGCCATTTCACTTTTTGTTTTCCATACGTCTCATGTCTTTTTGTACCTTTATTCTTCCTTTACTGCTTTCTTTTGTATTGAGTGAGTGTTTTCTAGCATTACATTTAATTCCTTCAGTGATTTTTCACTATATATTTTTGGAGTTATTTTCTTAGTGGACGCTCTAAGGCTTACTATGTACATCTTAACTTATCGGAAGCTACTTCAGGTTTATTCTGACTTAATTCCAATGAGATATAGAAATGCTATTGCCATATAGCTCAACTCCATCTTCTCTCTTTTTTGCTTGTTATATGTATTACTTTTGTATGTTATAAAACCAACATACAATGTTATAATCACATTATATTACTTTATATAATTTTATGTTTATTAAAGAAAAGAAAGGAGAGCAATTAAATTCTTAGAGAGTTAGTTATATTAGCCTTCTTATTTACCATTTTGTATTCTTTTCACCTGTTCCTGTGAATTCATGTTTTCGTCTAGCCTTACTTCCTTACTACAGTACAGCTTGGATTCCACCTGTCTCCTTTCCCCTATAGTAGTCAAATATATTGCATTTCTATATTTATAAGGCCAACAATGCAATTATATACACATTATTTTACACAATTGTTTTATAAATCAGTTAAGAGAAGAAATGTGCAACCATACTATCTTTGATAATTATAATTACTTTTACAATTACTCTGTTTTTTCATGTAGATTTGAATTGCTGTCTGGGGTCATTTGCTTTTAGCCTGAAAAACTTCCTTTAATACTTCTTGTAAGGTAGGTTTACTAGCCATGAACTCTTCTAGTTTTTGTTCATCTGGGAATGCCTTTATTTTGCCTTCATTTTGAAAGACAGTTTTAGTGGACATAGGATTTTTGGTAATCCTATTTTTCAAACAGTCTCTTTTAGTGGAGGCTAAAAGCTGAATGTGATACCAACAGAGGCAGACACCTTAACAGAGCGTTCAGGGAGAGAGACAGTCAAAGAGAATTCTTTTAAAAACACTGTTTTTCAAGAGTGATTGATCTTCTTTTTCTTGGTGTTTTAGTCAAAAGCTTAGATCAATGATTGTACACATTTCTTCTTGTTCCTAATGCAGTTACTATGCAGTTTGTTCCTATGCAGTTATTAATGCTGCATGACAAATCACCTTCAAAACTTAATGAAATGAAACAACCATTTATTGTGCTCATGGATTCCAAGGGTAAAGTTTAGGAAGGGCTCAGCTAGGAAGTTCTAAACTGGAGTTTCTTGTGTGGTTGCAGTGAGATATTGGCTGAGCCGCAGTCATCTGAAGGCTTGACTGGGGCAGGGAGATCCACTTTCAAATTGCTACACTTGCATGGCTGGCAAGTTGGTGCTAGCTGTTGGCAATCAGCATTGGTTTCTCCACATGTGCCTTTCTGATAAACTCTTTGAGTGTCTTCATGACCATGTGACTAGTTTCCTCAAGCATAAATAATCCAAGAGGCTAAACTGGAAGTTAAATGCCTTTTATGACCTAGGTTGAAAGTCACTCATAATCACTTCTGCTGTTTTCTATTGGTCACACAGAGTCAGCTCCAATTCGGTGTTGGAGGGGACTATATGAAGATATGACTCCTGAGAGCATGGATCTTTGAAGGGTGGGTGCCACACCACTTTTCTAATAGAGGTGTCTAATACTATACCTTTCCCTTTAAGATTGTTTTAGCTGTATCCCACAATTTTAATATGTTGTATTTTTATTATTATTGGGTATAAGATATTTTCTAATTTTCCTTATAATTTGTTCTTTGATCAATGAGTTATGTAGAGACAGTTTGCCAGATTTCCAAATATATTGGGATTTTCTAGGTGTTTATTGTTATTGGTTTGAGTTCAATTGAATGGTGATATGGTCAGAAAATACACTCTGTAAGATTTACAATACTTTGATATTTATTGAGACTTGTTTTATTGCCTACTATATGGGATATCTTGGCTAATGTTTATTATACACTTGAAAGAATATGTATTCTACTGCTATTTGGTGTAGTCTTCTGTACATGTAGATTAAATTTAGTTGATAGAGTTGTTCAAATCTTCTATATCTTCATTGATGTTTTATCTACTCATTATACCAAATACATAGAGAAGTATGTTAAAATATCCAACTATAATTGTGAATTTGTTTATTTTTCTGTTTAATTTTTGCTTCATATGTTTGAAGCTCCAGTATTAAGGGCACACACATTTTGAAGTATTATGTTTTCTTGATGAATTAACCATGTTAATATGTCTATTTACTATTTTTTTCCTTGCTTAATTTTTACCCAAGCTTTAATTTATTTTAATAGTTTATATCTGGCTATTCTCTATTCTAGGTCTGACATTTCTATGATCTGAAGTCTTAAGGGGTTCAAATTGTTTGTTGTTCCTGGTGACTTTCACTCATGGTAGCTTACCTTGTGTGTTTGGTGACTTTTGATTATAAGCTCATATATAGTTGATTTTCATTTTTGAGAATTCCCAGGGTCTAAATTAAGGATACTTTCCTCCAGAGAAGATTAACATTTGCTTCTGCTTAAAGGAAGGGGTTGCTTCCAACTTGGGACCATATTATCTCTCTTCCATGGTCCTTGGTAAATGTAGGGTCTAAAGTTCATCTCCCTTATCCTCCTTCTGTTCCAAAGCTAGTTTTCTGATTTGCATTGAAGATATATTCTCAAGGAAACCTCAGCTTTTAACTTTACTTACTTGTCTCTCAACTAGTTTGACATTTCCTTCATTTTCTGTTTTTAAAGGAGATCTTGGAGATTTCCTTTTCTTTATCCATTTAGAAAGCACATTTTTAAGCAGGATTGATTGTTTTTTAGAAAATAGGCCTTCAATGGTGCAAATTCATGCTTTTTTTAAAAAAAATGTGTTTGTATATACTCTTCCTAAATTGCTTTTCCCCTCCCTTAAGCCTGGCCAAGTCTAATGGATTCAAATGTTTCCAAACTCCTTCTTTGCTGCCTCATTTGTGTATATATTCTTCTACTATGTTACTCACCTCTTTAAAATCTAAGAAGCTATTTATCTTTTACCAGAGGTTGTGAACAGACTAAAGGTAGATATGTGTACCACCTCTTACTTTCCCGTACCTTTACACTCCAGTACAACGTTTTGCCTCTGATAAATGTTGGTTGAAAATTGTCTACCTTCTATATTTTCTATCAAAGTGGCTTGCACATAGTTGGAGTTTTGGAGATGTTTGTTTAATGAAGAATTTGCTGGAATGAGAGAGAAAATGAAGAGCTGAATTTTCTTCTTTGGAAATATTCCAAATATGGCTATTTGTAGAAGGATATCTGAGAGGTGTGAAGAATGGAGATAAGGGGTAGGAAGTTTACATGCTAATTTTCTTTGAAATGTCTTAAACAGCTAAACCAGTGTGGGACATAAAAGAGCTTTTTGTTTTCAAAACTGACTTTTGCCCTGAAGTAAACTACTTGAAACTGTACAAATTGCATGCAACTGTGATGCTCCCTAGTGGCTATTTTCTGCCAAAGCAAAGAACAGAATTCAGGTGGTATTCAACAAATAGATGTGTTGGGTATTCTGAAATGCAGAGACTATAATATTTTTTAAGTCAAAATTGCATATGCAGAAATCTAACAAAGTTTCCCTTTCCCCCTTTCCACTCATTCATAAAAGAACATAACATTGACTGAAGAAATAAAACCCATTTCCTTTTAAAAAACAATTTGTACAGTCTAAAATCTTTTTTCCCCACCAACATTTTGACATTTGCTGTCTGACAGTCAGAAAGTTGAGTTACTCATGACCCCTTGTCCCAAAGAGCTCAGAATATTATGAGGAATACAGACGTATAAATAAAAACTGTTACTTGCTGGGATAAATTCAATAATATGGATTTGCACAAAGTCCACAGAGAGGAGAGGGGGTATGTCAAGGATTATGTAAAAAGAAAGCGATCTTTGATTTATGCTTTGAAGGGTAGATACACATCTATTAAATACAGCAGTAGGAGAAGGGCATTCCAGGCGCATGAAGGGCACGATACAAAAGCTTGGAGGGGGAAAAGACACTGCATGCTCAGGCACTTTATGGCAGTGGCTTGAGCATAGGCTACATAGGGGGCTTTGACAGAAAAAGCAAATGGAGATGAGCACAGCAGCCCGATAATACAAAGACATGATGTAGTACTAAGGAATTTGGGTTTGTGTGTTGGAAATAGTGGAACACAGATAGATTTTAATCTGGACAGTGATTAGGCTTTGGTTTTAGTGAAGGATGTCTGGTATTAGTGTAGAGGAGGAACTGGAGAGGGCATTAGTAGTACAGGTTTACTGTAATAATCCAGGAAAGAAATCATGACGTGCCTATCCAGAATGTTGCAGTAGAGATGGAGAGAGGGAGGAAAATTCCAGAAAGATTCTGCGATACACATGAACAGACTTGGTGACCAACTGAGTTTAGGAGGTGGGAAAAATGGGAGGGTGAAAAATATAACCTGTATGCCTGGATAAAATACTATTAACCAAGAGAAAACCTATAAGGGAAGGAGCAGATTGAGGCAGGGCGACGATGATAATAAGGATAGTGGGTTTATTTGGGGATAAGTTCAGTATCAGACATCTACAACGCACAATGAAAGAGATTTTTACCAGGTGTTTGGAAATATGAATCTGGAGCTCAAGAGAGAGAGAGGTCCAGTGTGGTGCTACATATGTGGGGGAACTCCCCACCCTTTGAGTGTGGTTGATTTAGTGATGCACGTCTAATGAGTAGAAAAGAATGGAAATGACAGTTTGTGACTTCAGACACTAGGTTATAAAAGGCACTATGGATTCCTCCTTGCCTTCTCTCTTGGATCACTCGTTCTAGGGGAAACCAGTTGCCGCGTTATGAGTACACTCACCTATAAAGAGATCCACATGGTGAAGAAGTAAATCCTCTGGCCATCAGACAACAAGGAATTGAAGCCTTCTGCCGACAGTCGCATTAGTGAGACTGGAAAAGGATGTTTCAGCTTCAATCAAACCCTCAGATGACTGCAGCCCTGTCCAACACCTTGATTGTAAACTCATGAAAGACCCTGGGACAGAACTCCCAGCTAAGCTACCCCTAAATTCCTGATCCACAGAAACTGTACAATAATAAATATGTATTGTTTTAAGCCACTAGGTTTGGGGATGATTTGTTATACCATAATAGATAACTAATATACAAGGAGGGCTGTATCTTTGCCTAGGCAGCTGCTTCTCAGCCACAACTCCATGCTGTGTTGACAAAAATAATCCATAACCAATATACAAATCAAAATTAGGTGAGTTTATTATGAGCTAGATCTGAAGACCATATAGCCTGGGAAAGTCTTTTCACAAGGGAATGGAGCTCTCCAAAGAAGTGGGAGTGTACAGAGTGGTTATATGTCATCAAAAAGCATGTATCACATATGATTGGAATGTCCCTTTTACAATAGTCATGAGATTGCTTTGCTGGCACAGCATTTCCGTGAATGCAGCAGGTCGGTGGTCTCAAGGTAGGTGGTCACAGCAGGTCAGCAATCAATCACTAGTCTAGGGAGAGATGCTTATCCTTAAGGAAATGCCAATGTGGGGGAAGTTACATCCTTATCTTCAAGGGCATTGTTGTCTTTGGGACATAGTAAATTCTTAAAGCAGATATACAATGCATACTCAACAGCCATGTCAGGCCCTTCTGGAAAAACGAGTCCAGACCAAATTAGTTTTACACCATATGGCTTCCTCATATACTCCGATATGTCCTATTGCTTGTCATTTTTTTATCACTTGGAAGGGAAGAAGGGATTTCAGTAGAAATTGAGTTTAGGTATCTTTTCCACACTATGGTAATGGATTTGGCTTTTGTTAAAAATATAATGGTAAGCTGCTGAATGAACTATTCACATGCTTTTACTGGAAAACAATTCAACAGTGTTAGACAGGATAGGGGAAGACTGGTTAGAAAGCTTTTGAACCCTGAAGCCATTCAGGCAAGAGTTACGTGTGCTGTGAACCGGGATAGAGGCAATGGGGAGACCACTAAAACTATATTTGGAAGTAGTAAAGATAAGAGAACTAGAGAAAGGATTAAAAGTGTTCACCATTCCCCAAAAATTTCTAGGCAAAAGAAAAGGCCAAAGTATGAAACCAAAGAAGACAAAGACCTTCTGAATCCAGTGTGAGAAATGGTTTGGAATGAATGGAAAGGCCACAGGCCCAGAGTAATTCTCAAATTTCCCTATAGACCTCTGCGGTTGTTTTTGATCTGGTTCTTGAGTGAGTATGCTAGGTGTGTTTGATGTAATGCAAATTTGCATCATCAGAGCCAAACTAAAATCTGGAACATACTTGAGGATGAAAACTGCTGTATTTTTATCCAGGTTCCAAGATTACGTGTATTTTCTCATATAATTCTCATAGGAACCCTATGAGAGAGGTTTATTATGATTTCCATCTTACAGGAAAGTAAACTTAGGCTCAGAGAGAATAAGAGACTTGATCAAGATCTCAAAGTTTCTAAGTGGCAGAGTAGGATTTGAACCCAGGTATGTCTGACACCAAAGTCTTTACTCTTGATCACTAAGCTCCACTATTGCATGCAGCAGGTGCTCAGTTAATGTTGAAGGACTGAGTCAACGGATTACAATTTTGTCTCTTTTCCCCACCTCTGCTCAGAATCTAGCACCTCTCTGACACTTCAGACTTGGCCAGATTTGGGAGCTTCGGGAGACATTCCCTTGAATATTCTCTTGGCAGTCTTGGGATGGGTTGTTGACAGTGACAATGGAAAACCTATCTTAAGCAATTTTATGGACAGGTATTGACTCAGGGAAATCAGAGCCAGATAGAAAGAATATAAAGGATTTTCAAATGGTGTCGTTACTCTGCCAGGTTCGTTGTTGCCTGCCGCCCAGAAAGCCAAA